GGGGGGGGCGCACATGCCCGCCATATCTGTGTGCGGTGCTGGGCGGGGATGAATGTAGGCTGCCTGCTGTGGGCTTGGGCTCCCTGCCTGCTGCCCTTCCCCCAGGGCTTCCGTTGCCCTGTTGGTGGGTCATAGTGCAGCAGAGTAGAGCAGGGCCAGTCGAGGGCCAGAGTAGAGCAGGGCCACCCTACTGTGGCTTGGCACATGCACATGGCATGGGTTTTGCTTTCAAGATTTGGGGTGGTTTCCCTGAACCCCTTGCACCTATCTCCTTGAGAGCTGGCGGGCTTCGGGCCCTCGGAGGGGGCTATCATTCCAGCACGTTTCGTCCACATCGGGCCTGAAGGGGCAGAGTTGTGGGCTGTTTTGTCCTTCCCCATTATATCCTGGGGGCAAAACGTTGAAACGGGGTCAAAATGGCGAAACTGTTTCAATGGCATGGAAGAGCTGTTCTGAATCTCTTTCAAAATTGAAAACGGAATGCTGTTCCATGAAAACATCAAAAGGCTCATCAAAACGGAATGCTGCTGTTTGCACAGCCCTAGTAGCAATGTGCTACGTCACTGTACAGCACGCTATAGTGACGCAGGAATCACATGTGTCCGCATGTGATCACCTGCTACATCGCTGTTGTGGAGCAGTACATTGCTATGGCGACATAGTGGGGAAATTGAAGTGTGCACCACCTGTATGGTGCAGTGTCCACCCATACTGCGCCATGCTTTAGTACTTCCAAAAGGAAGTACTAAAGCATGGCACTGTAGCAACGTCACCATATGGAGATGTGTAGATATGCTCATACTGAGCATGTCCAAAGAGCTTAGAAGAGAAAGGGAGAAGCAAGATAGGGTGCAAAGCACCCTGTTCAAGTTTGCTGATGACACTAAGATGTGGGGGGAAGTGGGCACAACTGAGGGGAGCAACAGGCTACAGTTAGACCTAGATAGGTTACAAGGATGGGCGGAGGAGAACAGGATGGGGTTTAACACGGACAAGTGTAAGGTGATGCACCTGGGGAGGAACAATAGGCACCACACATACAGGCTGGGGAACTCCCCTCTTGTCAGCACGGAGGTGGAAAAGGATCTGGGAGTCATTATTGACTCCAAGATGAACATGAGTCGGCAATGTGGGGAGGCGG